ATTACGGATAAGTCATTTTATATTTATAGAAAGAAAGTAATGCTATAGAATTATAGTCCTATAATTTGTTTTGAAATTCTATTGCTAATCATTTAAGTTTTCATGGTCTTATTATATATTAAATGTTAAAAAGTATAAAACTAAAATCAAGAAAATGAAAAAAAAAAAACTTTAAATGTGAATAGATGTTTTATAATTTTTTAAAAAAAAACAAAGTTTTGACTTAAAAATGCTGACGTAGACTACCATAATTTGGCACAAAAAAATGTTTAATAAATCATGGGTAACTTTGTTAAAGAATAATATTTTATAAATACATGCTCTGGTCTATGTTACTTATTTAATTCTATCTCTTTTGTTTATTTGATGTAATTATATAAGTAATATCATGGACATTATTTTTGAGACCGTATGATTATGAGATAGTCTAGGCCAGTGATGGCTGGGCAATATATTTCATCTATGTTGTAGTATCCCTGGATTATATTAAACTGTCAATCAGGTTGAAATTATCATGTGAGGATTACCCCTACTGGTCCAAAATACAGACGAAATGTCCGTTTTAATTTGGCAATGGAAGGGAAAAAGTTTACAATACATAAGAAAAAAGAAAAAATTTATTCAGTTAACTTCCACATTAATTAAATTGAGCAAGCTGCGCTTACTATCATATAAATATTAATTAATCGGATGAACTGGGCGTTACAATTCCTAAGCTAACCATAGTACATTAGTAAAGTAATAGAGGACATCAAATTAATAATTTTTAGTTATAAGACTGACAAAAAATTATACAGCTCTAGGGCATTACTCATACTTTGCATTTGTTCCACAAAACATTTTTCCTTAACATTCATGGGGTCTTGTATTATTTTGGATTTTGGTTTCTAGATAATTTGGGTTTGGGACAAGAAAAATCACTACAATTTAGAATTTTTGAGTTTATTTATATTCTCCTATAACATAATTGTTAGAGAATAATATAAACCATTAAAAAGATTTTTACTGTAAAAGTTAGCTTAATAGATAGAAGAGCTCACAGTCCATATAATAAATCCCACATTATAACACTGCAATGCCAGCGCCGCTCGATTACAACTGGAAGACATAGTGAAAGAATCTGATACCAACTGATACCCCCTTCTGATATATAAAAACAATTAAGGTAGCCCCACCTAATAGTTTAAGCTTTTGGGTTGAATTTGTTCTTTACATGGTATTCGAGTCTTGTGTTACGGGTTCGATCCTCACTGTCCCGCATTTAATTAATAAATAATTAAGTCTTGTGGAGTTTCTTTGCACATGTATGTGAGCCTGTGTATTATCAATCTTTTAAGCTTAGTGGCTTCTCGTGTGAGGGGGCGTGTATTGGGCCTTTATAATAATGATTGCAACAAGTGTTGTAATGTAAATACCTAATGGTTTTATATATATCTAATAACAAGTTAAACTTTTGGGTTGAAATGACTCTTATAATAATGATTGTAACAAGTGTTGTAATGTAAATATAGTGAAAACACTTTGTTAAATATAGCCCTATAATAAAGTGAATCAGAATAAATATGTATCTTTTTTTCTTTTCATGCTTATTTTAATTGTGTGTAATTGCTGTATTAATTCTAACAGGTTATTACAAGTTATAACCTGTTACGATCTGATAGATCGAGATGTCCAATCAGATATTGGTATGTTAATAAAGGATTTGTTTGCCCTCTCTCAGGTGCCTATGAGGGAGGTACCCTAGAGATCAACGGATCACTGTGCACAATAATACAAACGACATAGTCAAGACATAGGGTGTGTGCACAGTGATAAGCTAAGAGAGAGGGTTGTAGGATGAATGATTGGTGTACTCGGCACTTATATATCTGTATATCAAATAATAATTCAGTTGAAAAAGCATCGAGAATATTGAAGCAACTGTAATTTTCAAGTCCATCCATTTATGTATTATGCACCACATCTTCAAATTTCAATATCCTATGAAAATGTATACATACAAGATACACCATAACCAAAAAAAAAAACAAAGAAAGAAAGAAAAGAAAAGAAATCACTGAAGAGATATATGTCATTGTCGTTAGGGGTGTTCAAAGGGATTGACACGACACAAATTTGACATGACATGAATACGCCTACATGAACATGACACAAATTTTTATTTGTGTCAAAATCTTCAATACGAACACAAGACAAATTTTTTTTTGAGTTGACACAATACAACATGAATAGCATGCAAATTAGGGGACAAAACGGTAATTGACAAAAAAGAATTAAAAAAATGAGTCAAAATAAAAAACAAAATAATAATAAAAATAATAATAAAAGATAATTTAAAACAAATACGGGTCTACACGAATCTGACACGCAACACGACATGACACAAGAAGAATTTTTTGCGGGACATTTTTCCCAATACGAATACGACCCAAATTTTTTTGCGGGTCAACCTGAACACGAATTTTTTGTATCGTGTCGCAGGTCGACCTGCGTGTCATAACCTGTTTTGACACCCTAATTGTCGTTTAGAGGCAGATTTAACTGTAACCTTTACATTTTTAAAATATCTAAAAATATACATTGCACATATGTACTTCATAAACCCACAAAAATAAATATTAATTGTTAACGGTTAGGCGGGTCCAGGTGGAGCCCGTGACGAGTGACCACCACCAATGTGCTAAGCTAGGCCAACCATAGCAAGTGGATCCGACACTATGTTTCAACCCAAAACCTTAAGGCATTGAGTTCATAGGTCCTCCCCCTCAAGTGTGAAACCCACCATTGGTATGCACCCCCTCAACCAATGTGGGCCAGGGCCCAGGTACTCAATCCACCTCCTAGCCGAACACCTTACTAGCCCGAGCTCAACCCAGCTCTGATACCACTGTTAGGCGGCTCTAGGAGAAGCCTGTGGCGGGGAATCACCACCAATGAGCTAAGCTAGGCCAATCACAGTAACTGGGTCCGACACCATGTCTCAACCCAAAATCTTAAGGTATTGAGTTTATGGGTCCTCTTATTTATATGTACTTCACTTAGCTTATTATCAACCAATGTGAGACTTATCACACTTGAATAATCCAACATTAACTAGATACAAAACAATCGAGGGCAAGCTTTGGACTAGGGGGAAGGTTGCTCTTTTTTTACGGAAAGGTCATATGTTCAAGTATTCGAGACAACATCTTTTCAAAAATGCATAAGTAAAGTTGTGTATATTCGACTATCACTTCTACCTTTCTAAAGTTGTGGAGTTTTTCTACACTAGTGTGTGCCCTTATAAATATAATTTATAAAGCAATTCATGTGTACTCACCTAACCATTTAAGTTCTTAAAAGAATTAATTCATGACATGACACAAGAGCCTTACAAACAAATTTCATTTTCTACAATTATCTTAGACATCGAAATCAAGAAAACTTTCTTTCTCTTAAAATTTGCATCAATTAATTGGTTTAAATAGTATTTGGAAAAAATTTATAATGCCAAAAATGTATAGGAAAATGACTAAATAAAAAGTGGGATTTGATAGAAGAGAAACTCTCAATTCCTGATTATAATTATTAAAATAATAAAATATTCAACACCTACAATAAGGGTCTTGAGAACCATTTTATAAACAAACAACTTTTTTGCTCGGTAATACTCTTATCTTACCTAATTTGTCTGGTAAATTTTTTTCCAACCAAACAACTTTTTTTACATTTTCCTACCAAACTCACTTTTCAACCATTTCCCTATCAATTACATTTTCCTAGTATTCAAAAAATTTCTCCTCAACCAAACGCCCCCTAAAGAATTATGTTTAGTATCACATTTCAAAAAATTTATCTGGGAAAGTGAGGGAAAGTGATTTACCTGGGAATCCGTTTTGTGTCTAAACTGTGAAGGCAAATTTCATACAAGAATACCACCCATTGCTAAGAAAAATAGAAAAAGTATAAGAAAAAACTGACAAGAATAGGAAACTTATCCAATATTTCCGGTATAATTTTTTACCTACCAAATAATTTTTTTATAAAATTCTCGAAAAACTTACTTTCTTACTATATTCCAAGGAACCATGGTTTTTAGATAAAAAACACTTTCTCCACCACCAAACGCCTAATAAAGATTGAATATACATTAAAGAATTGAATGGGGATCATGACACAAATCAGAATTAGTATGTCCCCTTCCCGTATGAACAAAGGTGCTTCCTCTTCGCTTCGACCACGACTCCAAACATCAAAGAGCTATAAACAAAAGGAAAGAGTGTTTATCCTTTTAAATAACACAACTTATATCCTTTCACTCTTATAAAGAGGTGGGATCCACACCTTTATTTTCTTTTTGTCAACTCTCTCTTCTTCTTTATCTATGTCTTTCTCCTTTTTAAAATAACACAACTTTACATCCTTTAAAATGACACACATTTTTCCCATAAACAATTTAAGTTTTGCATACCATTGTACCATATCAAAAAATAAAAAAAGGTGCTTCCTCTTGGCTTCGGCCACTACTCCAAACACCAAAGAGCTATAAACAAATTAAGAATGGCATACCATTGTACCAACCTTATTGGTGCTTCCTCTTGGCTTCGGCCACGACTCCAAACACCAAAGAGCTATAAACAAATTAAGATTTGCATACCATTAGACCATCTTATGTTATAAAAAAAAAAAGTGCTTCCTCTTGGCTTTGGCCATGACTCCAAACACCAAAGAGCTATAAACAAACTAAGTTTTGCATACGCTAACATAATATGAAAGCACTTAAAAAAAGGTGCCGACATGACACAATTATTATTGTAAAATAGTAACGCATGTAAACCATTTCATACGCTAACATAGAGGGATGAGCATATCCTGCCCAGATACTATACCTTATTATTTTGTTACCTTCCATTTCTGCCTATAAATTCATCAATTTACCAATACCATTCCATAACTGTGGCATCCACTCAAAACCATAAAAATCACTACTCTTATCTCTCCAACTCATTTGAGAAGCAAAGATGGAATCCAAGGGATCCATTTTGATTAAGCTTATGCTGCTGCTACAGTATTTGTCAGTTCTCTGTGTTTCACAGAATTTTGATTTCTTCTTCTTTGTTCAGCAGGTAATATAAGATTTCATTGAAAGGTCATGCTTTGAGTTATAAAGAATCTCCTTAAAAAAAGAAAAAATCAATTTTTGGGATTTTGCATTTGCAGTGGCCAGGATCAGCCTGTAACACACAGCAAGGTTGTTGCTACCCAACAACTGGGAAGCCTCCTGCAGATTTTGCCATTAGTGGTCTTTTCCCTAGTAACAATGATGGCTCATACCCTTATAACTGTGATACCAACAACCCTTTTCAGCAATCTCAGGTATTTCATTTACGAAACAGATAATTGCACAAGCTGCATATCATAAATAATACATACACGACAAGAAGTAATTTTTTCTATATTTTCTTCTCCTAATTATTCCATTTGAACCAAAAGGACTAAGCTTGTATCCAATTTACAAGTCATAAAATATGTTTTCCTTTTTGTTCCCTAACAAGACAAACGTTTTCTGATATGCAACTTTAAGTTGTGGCGACCTTTTATTCTTTCTACGTGTCCTTATGCAAACTTTTCATGCCATAGTTGCTAAGCAGGGAAAAGATTAAATAAAATAATAAATAATTCTTTTAAACCTCAAATCAGAATCTCAATAGCCAAATAGAATATATTTTAATCCTAAAAAGTATTCTGTTACTATGATGATTAAATATATGATGACAGATATCTGATCTCCGTAGCAATTTGCAAAGCAATTGGCCCTCACTATTATGTCCAAGCAGCGATGGGTCCTACACCTGGAGCGCTGCATGGGACATATTTGGCACTTGCTCAGAGTCAGTCCTCAACCAACATGACTATTTTGCAGCAGCTCTCAACCTGAAAGAGCAGACCAACTTACTCCGAGCTCTTGCAACTGGAGGTACATATTCAAAACTGGTTTAATTTAATACATACTTTTGTTATATGATAGCAATATGCTTTTAGCAAATAGCTGACAAACATGCATTTTGTGAAAGTGATTTTATCAAATGGGGGTTCCTACGCCTTGGACGTCACGAAAGAGGTTATAAAGAATTCTGTTGGGTATACTCCATTCATTGAGTGCAATGTGGATTCATCTGGTAATAGCCAGCTATACCAAATTTACTTGTGTGTGGACATCTCTGGATCATACTTGGTGGATTGCCCTGTGGTCCCCAAAAACGTCGTCGAATGTGGATCAACTTTTCTGTACCCATCTTTTTATTAATTTCTAGGAATGACTACTACAAGTCTCTTAAGATAAGTTCATTTAACATGTTGTTGTTCTTTTTAATTTCTAGGAATGATCACTTCGTCTGTTTCCCGCATAGCAGGCTTAGCAGCCAACTTTGATAGATAAATAAACAAAGGGAAAACTAGTTGTCCAGATATATAAGCTTATCTTCTTTTATCGTTGTAACTGTATATACTACGAGGAGTACATGAGTACCTAGTTATAATATAATTTTTTTTTCTTTATTCAGAAATTTTTTTGAACTTGTTGATGGAGAGAAAAAAATAAATTATATTATAACTATATACTCTCTTGAAATATATAATTATAAAAAATAAAAGTATACAAATTTACATCCTTTAAAAACACATATACTAAACCTATAAACAAAACGCTAACAGTAATGCTA